GGGGCTCCCGGGGCAGCCGGCTGCGCCCCTTCCATCACAAGCCGGTTAACAGCAGCCCCTGGGACACCCTGGAAGAGGCTGATCCACTCCAGGGCAGGAACCCATCTGCCACCGGACAGCCTTTGGGGAGGCTCTGGTTTAGCGAGGCGGAGCTGCAGGAGTTGGGGAGCTCACAGGAGAGCAGGGGGGATGCTCACACCCAACCGCTGACCACCTCGCCCAGCACCGCGCCGGCTGGGGTCTCTCAGCCCTGTCACCGCTTGGTCCCCAGAAGCTCAAGGTCCTCGGAGATGGTGCAGCCACGGGGCCCAACCACCACTTCTCCAGCGAGGTGCGTGGGGTGGAGGGGGAAAGCAGCCGGACCACCAGCAGAGACTGTCCCTTGCGTGAGCTCCAAGGGACAGGGCCATGGTCCGGCCAGCACCGAGCAGGATTGGTCCTCTTCACAAGTGTTCACTGAAGAGGAAGAAAAGCAAGGCTGAATTACAGATGGTCGGCCTCTCTCCCACAACTGCCTGGAGCAGCTCTGAGCCCCTCTCTGCCCACACCTCCCCTGCTCTGCTCCCGTCACCCACCCTGCCACGGGCTGACCCAGTGGTCCCAGTGCTCACCAGGACACGAGGACCCTTGGGTGCTGGCTCCAGCCAGCCCTGCCCAGCTCACCTGGCTATCCGGGACAGGATCTCCTTGATGCGCACCACCAGTTTCTCATGCTGCAGTGGGTTGCTCTCGATGGCGCTGTGCAGTTTGGCCATGTAGAAGTCCAGAGTGCTCAGAGTTGGGGTTTCCCCGGTGCCTACGAGGCAGCAGCCCAGTTAGCAGGACCAGCAAGTCCCCATCCAGCCCTGCCCATCGTGCTGGTGACTGGGGAAGGGACCCTGAACGCTACATGCCATCTCCCGCAGCAAGAGAGAGCCCGCACCGACACAAGCCCAGGAACAAAAAGGACTTCGGCGAATCTCTGCCTTGCAGGTGCAGCTGTCACTATGGCCTGAGAGGACAGTTCCCAGCTTGCCCTACCCTGTTATAGGGGTGCAACCCAGCTGTCACATCACTGGGCTCCCCGGAGAGCCCCCCAAAGTGCTCCAGGATCCCACCCCATCAGCAGATGAGCATTTATCATCACCCTGCTTCCCCCGCTTGTACCACGTGTGGAGCCCCAACAGTGCCCCTCTACGTGGCCACCAGGTCCCAGCAGCAGGCTGGTCCCCGTGCCCCCAACTCACCAGGGATGGGGAGGGAGGCAAAGCTGGCGGTGAGGGCCTGCCGCACGGACTGGAGCTGCTGCTGCAAGGCCAGCGTTTGCCTCTCCTCGTGGGCCAGCTCCTGCTCCAGCTTCTCCTTGGCACAGTTCATGCTCTCCGTGTGCTTCTGCAGGATGGCGTTCTGCTCCTCAAACTCCGTGTTCATCTTCCGCAGGCGCCGCAGCTCGGCCTCTCGGGCTGCCGGGACCGCACGATTGTCAGCGGAGTTGGCCCCTCTGACTTCCTCCCTCATCCCAAATGCAATCCCTTCCCCAACCATGACTCTTCCAAGAGGCTCAGCATCACCAACCCCCAGGCTCCAGCCAGGATCCAGTCCCTCTCTCCAACCTCACCAGGGACCTTTCACAGGTCTCGTACCCAGCACCAGCCACAATGCTGCCCCGCGGGATGCAGGCTGCGCTGGCAGCGGCGTTACTTGCAGCAGCCGTCCCCCAAGCAAGATGCTGCAGTGCCAGCAGCCCCCACCCCACAGCCCAGCCCCTCACCTTTGTTTTGGTCCAAGAACTCCTCTGTGAAGATGGGCACGTCGAAAGTGGAGAAGGTGTCGCTGCACTCACCAGCCTGGGGGAACAGGAGGGGATGGATCAGGTAGGGTTGAGCCCACCAAATGGGACCCCTATCTCCTTGGGGCTGGGCAGACAGGAGGCAGAGGAACGGGGCAAGGCCTGGGTGGGCAGGGAGGACCGCTATGCTCTGCCTCTCGCCACTCCAGGCTCTGCTTCAGTGGAAAGTTGGCACCTTGAAGCACAAACTGGGAGTTTCCCTCTGCCCAAACCTGCAGCCAGCCCGGTTCTCACGGGCCGAACCCAGCAGTGCCATGTGCCTCAGTTTCCCACACACACAGGCAGCACTGTCAGGGCCTTACCTTGTGCGGGTGCCCGT